CTCACATGATCTCAAGTCTCTCTCTCTATATATATATATATATATATATATATATATATATATATATATATATATATATATAGTCATAAGTTATTTTGAGAAGTAAAGAAGTAATCTTAAGTCTTTATACGGTCAAAATCGGATTTGACTGGTAAAAAATTGTAACTATTTGAAAAATAGAATAGGTACTTTCATAACTTTTACAATTATGTGGCAAACGAGTTCATATGTGAACTCGTGTGATTCATATACGAACTATATTGAACCCATGTAATTCACATATAAATTAATTAATTTATTCACATATGAACTCGTGTAATTCACATAAGAACTATTTTAACTGATTCACTTATGAACTCGTATGATTCATATATGAACTAGTTAACGGGTTCACATATGAACATATAATTTCTATGTAAATCACACGGGTTCACATACGAACCCATTTGTCGTCTACATGTAAAAGTTAAAAAACTATTCCTCTATCTTCCACATAACCATGCAAGGAATTATGTGGTGTTTCACAGTGAAAGCCGCAAATGTCGACCATATGAAGAGTTAGGATTATTTCTTTTACTTCTCAAATGCTTAACACTTCTCGAATGAATAAACAACTTATTATTGATATTTTAACACTAAATCATTGAAAAACCACTAAGAAACGAACTTCAATTTTATCATTCTAAAATTAGAGTTTCAATTTTCATGTTGTTTTTCATTTAAAAACTCAAAATCAAATATTTAGATTTTAACCAAATGAAATACTCATAAAACTTGATGCCTCATTTTTATAACTTAAAATTGAACAAATCTCTATATAAACTTCAACCAAGTTTTCATATCAAAATAGACAAAAATACTAAAACAATAAAATTAAATCATATTTAATAAAATTAATTTTTTTACTTTAAACAAATCAAATCATAAACTAATATATTATCTTATTTTATTTATTTTGATATCATTATATATATATATATATATATATATAAACCAAATTGTAAACTAATAGGTAGGCATGATTTATAAAAAAATAAAATAATAAATAATAATATGGTTTTTACTTTTTTTTATAGAAAAAGACAAAAGCATAGGTAAAAAGGCTAAAATAACCATTGATTACCAATGGGTCTTCGGCCTAGCGGTATTGTAGTCCTTGGCCTCCTAGGAGGTCAATGATTCAAATCTCACCAACGGTGAGGAGGGTGTGTGAGTTTATTTGTTGCATTTATCGTATATAAATATTATATACTTAAAAAAAACCATTTATTTAACAGAGTTAACGGAGACGTTAGTAGCAAAGATCATGGCCAAGACAAATTGAATACTACAAGGACTAAATCCTAAATAAACATATTATAGGGACTGTAGTAGGAAAATATCAAAACACTGGGAAGAAATCCACAATTCAATCCAAATGTTATTATACAAAACTTTAAAAAGAAATAACACAATAATTAAAACCATTCCCCATAGTTGGTCACTGAATTTCGGGTCAAACCCGGAAACTTAAATAATAACATCATGGAAAATCATATATGAAAAAATAATTTTTTTAATGATTTTTATATAATTGTATTAGCATGAACAAGTGTAAATCATTTAAACAAATTTAGTAGACTTATATGGAGTAATACATGACCATAAACATTTACATAAACACTATATGAACTCATGTATCTCTTACTTTACATAAGAATATGAAAATATAGGAGAAGAGTATTGTGGGAAAAAAAAATTATAGTGAGAATTATAAAAAAAGATATGAATCATTGATCACTTTCGGTTTCTTATCTATCCATGAATTGGTCCTTTAAAAAGGAATTGATTTGATGCATCTCGATGTACCTCATAATATTGACATTCAATTATGTTTGATCAAAGAGTGAAGATCTTTTCTTACACTTCTCACCATAACTTATTTTCTCATTGGAATTAAACCTTGAAACATACACACACACACACACACACACACACATATATATATATATATATATTTATTTATGTATGTATGTATGTAGGCGAAGGATCATATGAAAATGGAAGTTATAATGAGAAGTGTAAAAAGAGATTTAAACCCTTAATCATTTTTAATCTTTATGCCCATCTATGAATTACGATTTAGAAGGGAATTGATTTAGTACATCTCGATGCACCTCATTAGTGTCGACATTCAATTATGATTAATCCAAGGGTGGAGATCCCTTCTTTCGATTATGACCATAACTTCCGTTTTTACTGAAAGCCAACCATGTATGTGTATGTGTGTTCATATATATATATATATATATATATATATATATATATATATATATGTGTGTGTGTGTGTGTGTATGTGTGTGTATGCATAATAATATTTCTAACAAAAAATTTAAAATAAAGAAAATAAGAATTTTTGGATAATCTTTTACTCTAAGAGATTATTTTAAAATGGAGGAACAAATGCGTGAAATTCTCCAAATTCAGAAGAATTCTTCAAAAATAATCATAACGAGAGAGAAAATGATTTTATTATATTCATCAATAAAAAACTTTCAAACTAAATATATTCAAGAGAGAAAAATAATATTTTATTAAATATATAAAATATTTTCATAATATAACTGATTGTATAATTTTCAAAATTAAGAAACTGTTTGAGTTGAATACAACTTTTTTTTTAAAAGATTTTTAAATTTTAATTATCCAATCTAATGTTATAAGAAATTTTGTTGTAAATATAAAATAGAATATGAATGGGTTTTAATAAAAACCTTAGACCGGAAGAATCTTTGAGATGCTTAGATCGAGAACGGGTTTTAATATGAATGTTGTTGGAAATATAATTTCACTGAAACCATGGACTAATCTGCTTCATTTATTAACAACAATCTAACTAAATCTCTTCATTTTCTGTTACAACTATACCGATATGACAACTCGTAATATTTGGTTCTCATGTTCTCGTTTAACTCATTAGACCATCTTAAATGCAATGTTTGTATAAATAAAAATTATAGGTTCTTATAAAAAAGAAACCACAAAACGGATTCTTATAAGAACTACCATTATAAAGTTTTATGTAGGTTCTTAATTTAGTGATGCGAAAACGATATGATAAACAAAAGTATAAAATATGAGTTCTTATAGCAACTCCTCTTAATAATGTCATATATACAAAATAAAAGAGTAATCAAATGTGACCATGAGTTTAGCTTTGCATTAATCAAGGATTAGAAATTAAAATTAATTAATTAAAAAAAGATGACATCAACTTTCCATTGTCTTGTAGATAACAACAAAACAGGGAAGTATGGCCCTCGGATTACAAACGTACAACTCCTCAAGATTCGAGTATAACCCGGGATGCCCGGCCATCGAATCGTACGGTCCTCCTTCCTCCTCCGCCTCCGTCTTCTCCGCCACACGCTTCACCTTTCCTGCAATCACTCGACATACCAGCATGGCCTTTACTCCACGGGCCCCAACCCCTAGACAGTCGTGTGCTCTACCACTACTCGCGGTCGTGCACACCCCTTTCCTTCCACCACCTTCACAGGATTTTGGGTTTTGGAAACCGTGACGGATGATGGTGCACACGCCGCACCCAGGGACGGATCCGCAGAGACTGGATGACCCGTGGGACCCGAGAGAGCAGCCGAGTGTGGTGCAGTGGAAGCGGAGGAGCTCGTTGCCGTCGGCTGCGCAGCGGGAGGCGGTGGCGGTGACGTTGGCTCGGATCTTGACGGTGTCACGACAGTCCTCGAAACGTTGGATGGTCCGACGGGTGTTGTTGACTTTTAGAATCCGTTCGATGGTGAAGATCGGATGGTCCTTGTTCAGCCAGCTGGACTTGAATATTATCTCCACAATGTTTCGACCCGAATCTTCGAGTCCGAGCTCCGACACTATGAAAGCAATTTGCATAAATAGCCCTCTAATAAAAAGATATATGCAATTAACACCACTTAATCACTTAAATTTGAAATTTATTCATCATTGGTTGATACTTGATATGGACTGCGGGTCCAACTTAATTTTCCTGTTTTGGAATCATATTTTAAGTTTAATTTCATAAATAAATAAATAAACATTTTGTTTTATTTAAATATTATTGACATTAGTTGATAATATTTAATACAACAAAATTCAAAATTCAAAAATTCTTAGTTAAAAAGGAAAATAGTCCAAACTATTCATTCTAAACCTTCAATTTTTTATACCCATTTTTCTTTCAAAATTTTAACTTGCAAAAATCTACCTATCATTAATTTAATATTTATAAAGTTTCGCTTTTACAAGTTGATACTTGCAAAATGTTGATATGGAAGTGTTACTTATGTAACTTGCTAAAGTGCTACTTACCACGTTTGCAAATAACACTTTATCAACTTTTAAATTGTTACTTTATAAATACAAAATTCATAAAAACATAAAGTTTATAAGTTGTTAAAAGTGTTATTTGCAAAATATTGACTATTTCAAACAATTGAGTAAAAAACAGTTAAAATATAAATTGTGCGGTTTGAAATGACTATTTAGGACCTAAAATAAATCTAATGAGTAATAACATCCACCCATATGTTGGATGGCACGTATGCATAGCAAAACATCCGAAACCTTTACACGTAAGAGTTGTAACAAGAATGATATTGACAATTCAAATGTAAATTCTCCTTTTTCCCCTTATAAGAAGGCAAGCAATTGAACAATTAAATCAAATGGTCCCCAAAAGCAACGTGGTTACATGATTGCCAAACCCACACACGACACAAAAGCCACTTCATCTATATCTTCTTCATCAAATATTCGATGACATTCCATAATAAATACAATCGTTGGATGTAAATATATAAGTTTTTCATATATGAAACATAAACACGTCAAAGTGAATGTGACATTGCAACTCATATCTGTGAACTCTTTCTTTAAAGCAAACGAAAATTTAAGTACCATTTTGGATACATAATTTCTCAAAAAACTCAGTCTTCTTTACTTCATCATCAACATAACTTGATAGGATGCTTAACACTTGTAATATTTTTAAGATCATGTTGTTTCTTATAATTCAAATCTAGTATTTCTTTAAGTTGGTTGATTTGTTTAAATTATATATCAAGTTGTATATGTATATGTATATGTATATGTATATGTATATGTATATGTATATGTATATGTATATGTATATGTATATGTATATGTATATGATTATGAATTTGAAATAAAGGTGAAAGTTACCAGCATGCCGAACAGCTTGATGATGTTCCAAGCTTTCCATTTTGGGGAACACTTCTCCACATTCAGAACATACACAAATTGTACTTCTTGGAATTACATGCCTACACATTGTCAAAACAGCAGATATCAATCGTACCTTATATCCATCCATTAACAAGCTTCTATATATTAAGCCATTTTAATTATGATATCAACCCTTTTCTATCTCACTTTGATTAGCAACTAATCATTGTATTATACATAAACCTACATTTTTAAACAGTTAATAATTACGTTTTTCAACTCTGTTAACTTATCTCCACTTTTCGTAACCCCAGAATAAACGTTAATAGAGCCTTTCCGTACCTAGTCTAGGTTTCCGATAACAGCCAAGAGTTAACGAGCTACAAAACTGTACCAAAAATTTAAAATTTTTCTGATGTGAAAACCCAAAATGTGACTCTAAGTGAAAAAGGTATTTACTCTTATTCTTTTGTATTATTTATTTTGTTGCAAATATAAGATGAAAACAAGAAATAACAACATATATATGAAGGAAAAAAAACGTGAGAATGACCTTGCAGGATCGACAATGGCGTGGCATTCGTAGCACCCAGAAAGCTTCCTCAATTGAATGCCTCGGGAAGATGACGTGTAACTCCCATGAGTGTTGGATCTGACTGAACCCGTCAAAGACCTAGAAGAAGAAGAAGATGCACCATTATTGCTGACGTGTTTCTTCCTTCTGAGGAGGCCGGAATCTTGACCGACGGTGCTACTCTCCGGCGAGTTATCAGCCCTATGAACAACCCTGGTATTCCCATTAGCAACATCCCTGAAATTGCATATGGAGCCACAAGAACTCAACTTCGAATACCCATTAGGGTTCCTCACCGGGTCTTGAACCTTCTGATCCGACCCGCCAACATCCATCTGTTTACACTTCAACAGATTCTTGATTTGGTCCCATGATGATGATGTTGATGATGAAGAATGCTGTTGTTTCAGTTTAGGGTTCTGTGGGTGATGCTTTCTTCTACGCTTCGTGGGTTGTACCTTTTGGGTTTCAGAAGGTGGGAGCTTGAGGACCGCCATGAAAGGAGAGTTGTACAGATGTTACAGGAAAGAAGGTCTATCGTTCATGAAAGAAAGAGAGATGCTTTTGAAAGGTGTTTTGCTTCTTTTAATGAGGAACGGATCTGAGGGTAAATTAGAGGAAGGGAAAAAGGGTTGGTGAAATTTATTATTTATTTTTTTTAATTTAATATTTAATAAATAATCTTTTAGTTCCACTAGGGTTTCATGAATCCATTAGTTCCAAAGTAACTTAAAACTTGTATCCATTAGCTCCAAAATAACTTAAACGTATTTTATCATAGTTTTAGCCTTTTTGGAGTAAACGATAAATTTCGTTCCTTTGGTTTGTCAAAAATAACACCTTTTGTTTATGCAATATCAAAATTATAAGATTGATGTCATGATATACAAAAATATCGGGATTTGATTCGGTCTCTTTAACGTTCGTTAAAATATCACAATAAATTAGGGGAATTTTCGTTCTTTTATCAAATTTTTTTTTTTGTCTTTTACCTAATAAAAAACCGCAAGAACCAAAGATTAGGAAAAAGACTAAAGAAGAACAAAAATGTCCATCATTTAGCGGAATTTTTAATGGCAATTAGAAGAAGGGATCAAATTCATACATTTTTGCAAACCCAAATGGTCATCTTGTAACTTCGAAACAAAAAAAATGTTATTTTGATAAACCACTAACCAAATTTGTAGTTCACTCTAGTTTTTATTTTAAAAACTCTGCTTGAAAGTACTTAAGGTTCGTGTGCCTATCCTTTATAACAAGACATTTCAAATACTAAAGTTTAATTAAAAAAATTCAATAAATAATTCTTGTTTGTAAATTTATAATACATATATATATATATATATAATAGATAAAGATATGTAGGATTTTTCGCTTCGTCCATCTTTCCCCCATCTATCTCCGGATGCAAGCATTGATCTTGATTAATGGTCTGAGTTCTGGGTTTATAAATAAGAGGTTTGATTCCATTGCCATTTATTGTTCCATGCGATCTTTACCCCAAGGAAACTCCGAATACAGGCCTAGCTAGATCCGTCAGCTACGGTAGTGACGAAGCACTACTGAGCAATTCACATACGTAACCAACTGCTTTCACACCGTACGAACAACATCCGGAGCAAGGACCATGTGGCAAGCAGTGAAGGGGGATCAACAGATAAAAGCAAGAAACTTTGAGAATGAGAGGAGTCTTGCATTAGTAAAGGAAATATTTTATTTTTTATTTATGAAGTTTTAGTATGTTTTCTTAATTTAATCAAAGACATATATCTTATATTAATTGCTATAAATACCTACTACATCATCCAAAATAAAGATTTTGAAAGTGAGTTATCAAAATGAATCAAAACAAGGCATGTTCTGTTTGGATGATATTTGCCTTTTTTTTAAATATGTAAGGTTGATAATTTTAATCAATATAATTGCTTTAATTTTGTTGGTAAAAAGGTAATTTGTATGAGAAAAATTTAATTTATGTTGATTTCTATTTTATTTTACGTATTTTAAAACTTTGATTTGGTACCTAATGTAATATTTCAAGCATTTATGTCAATATATATTACAAAAAATTGAGTTTATAGAACACCAACAATCTTTAGGTATCCCAATAGATCATCTTATAGGATTTAGACTAAATTACAAATTTCATCCCTATGGTTATAGAAAAATTTGGATTGGATCCCCCAAACAAAATAATTACATGTATAATCACAGTGATTTCAATTTTGTTATGGATTGGATCTCGTGCACTAACGTCGTTAACTTTAGCTCCGTTAAATCAATGATATTTTGATTATTCTACTTTTTTCTTTTAAAAAATAAAAAAAGATATATAATTTCTATATTTGTCAAAAAAAATGTATGATATTTACTATATTTACAACTCTAATATTTCTTTACAACAAAGATACATAATTCCTTTAATAATTATATTGTTGCACAAATTTGAAAGTTATTTGTCAACCCCCGAAAGCTTAAGAGAACATAAAGACGAAAACCCTTCCTCCCCACTGCTCTTTGTTGCATCCCCTTGACCTATCTTCGCCATCCCGCCATCTTCAACCTTAGCATTCATCGTACCTCACCTTCTCACTCTTAAATATATTCCATGTCTCGTCCAACCTCTGCAAATGTGATAACGGGTTTTTCGGTTATTAAGCTCGGGTGGTTTTTGAAAGTGTTGGTAAGTTGAGGGGTTTATTGTGTGTTTATGCTTAAATATTTTAAAAACACTTATACCGCCTTAATTCTTTATATGGGTTTTATTGAGAGATATTTGCTTTATCTTGAATAAGAAAGTTGGTGAAAAAGAAAAAAAAAAAAAAAAAAGGTTTTTTGTGTGAGATTTTCAAACCGAAGCAAAAAAGGGAAATAAGAAGAAATTGAATTATGTGATTATTTATTTGAATACTTGTTGCTATTCCATCTTCATATCATTTACATGATTCATAAGATGAGTTTAATTTTACAAAATTTCCTTATTTGGAAACTGGATATAGATACGCATGGTTCTTTGTATGAGTAGTTGTTATAAAACTGTTTTCGACGCCATAATTGACATAACTGTGAGACTTTGATATGTTTATATCATGTGTTGGAATAAGGGTGAGATGTTAATGAGAGGTGTACTTTGGTTATATCGCATCCTTGTGATACGACAAGTTGTTTTTATCACATCCTATTTATGCGACAAGAATGGTTTATCGTATCAGTGTGAATGTGTGATGCGATGAGTTGAGATCCTCGCACCAGTTTGTTGCGAGGAAACGAAGTTGTCTTACTCATTTAATGTGAAAAAATTATATAATCATCTATATAATACGACAAGTTTACTAAGAATGTGTTTATCAAGTTATTTAGCTATTTTGATGCGATAAATGAGATTCATTATATCAAAATAATGTATATTTGTTATATTAATTCATAAATGTGATTTGGTAATTATTCACCCTATAATAACATCAAATAGATTTTTCACTAGACCTCAAGGTCTAACATTTATTTTGTGTTTTAAAAATGTGCATTACAGGTCCGACTTAACCAGAGAATAAGTGAAAGAGAAAATTGTGAAGTATCATATTTATGCTTGCATGGGAGATTGGACAATGTTGTTCTTTTGTATCAGAATAATTGTTATGTTACAAATTTTGTATAAAAATTTTATAAAAAAAAATTGTAGCTACTTTATAATGTAGCTTTTGTAGATTATGTTACCAAATATGTAAATTATATTTCTTGATATATAAAAATATATGATCGTACATAAATGTGATATTAGAGTGTTACAAGAAACTAAAAAAACCACCATCTTATTTCACTATCCAAATTAGCACAAAATGATGAAAACAAAACCCAATATATAACCACAATCATTGACATCACTAATGATTTGAATCCTAGTTTTGTTATATTATTGTAGTACATGACACTTCAAGAATTTTAACGACATATTTACTTTTTCCTAATTAAAATACCAGTAAATTTAAATAGTGTAGTTTATTTTTGTTAGTAAAAGCGACTTTGACGGTAGGATTAAGAAAAGTACTTTAAGTATTGTAATACTTTTGATACCATAATATTTGTTGATTTAATTTATAAATATGATTTGAATAATATTATAATCCAAAATGTGAATTTTTTGGGAGGGGTGAGTGAGTGTACAAAATATTAAATTAGTACAAGGAGGGGGGAGATTCTTTCCCCCAATGTCTTTGGGTGTGCATTAACCACTTGTACTTTTGATGGTTAATGCGTATTTAGGAATTCCCCAAAAAGCCCATCACTTTGTGTCATTTTTTAGGAAAAACATAATAACTTTTAAATTCAAAATTTGATCATTATCTTTTTAGTATAAACAATTATACTACTTCCTCAATTTCATAATATCCATTAAGAGTTAATATATTATTTTATTAAGTTTTTTTTTAAATATTGATAATATTGTCTTACAAGGGCTTGATACCTTCTTTTAAAACAACGAGTTGAAGTATTTGGACAAAAGGAGTATACTATATTTGGTATGATTAATATGAGATGTTACATAGTAAATAATAGGGTTGAATGTATGAAATAGTAACTTACTTTCATAAAATTTCATATTATAGTATTATACTTTTGTTTTTCTTTATTACAATAATATACTTTCAAGTTATTTTTTTATTAAGACATATTACTTTAAAAAATCTATCCATAATAGCAATGAGTAACCTGTTACCTTTTAAACCGGTTAACTCCTTGACTTTTTTGTTGATTTTTTCTTATTAAGTTGTATGCAAATTAAATATTCTAGAGTAAAATATTTCTTAAATAAATATGAAACATTATTTTCGAGGTATATTTTGTTTGTAAAAAAAATAGCATTTCTTATTTTTATGTTGTTCAAATAAATACATATTTTCTAAAGTTCTCTTTAAAATGTTAACGAAATAAATTGTGATCTATAATTTTTTAATATTGTTATATTAATAAATAATTCAAAAAAATCTAATTAGTTTAATATATTTATACGTCAAATAAAAGTTTTTGAACAAATATATATATTCTTTAAAATATAATATTTTTTTTGGTAAAAAAAGAACAATTCTTATTTTCTTTTTTCAAAAAATACATATTTAAAAAAAATATTAGCGAGATAAATTGTGTTCTACTAGTTTTATTGATATTGGTATATTAATGAATAATTTAGAATTTTTTAATTCATTTAATATATTTATTAAATAACATATAAAATATCTAAATATTAAAATTAAAAATACAGTGTTTAATAAGAACTACTAGATGTTATAATAAAATAATTTTGAAAGTACAATGATGTAGTAAGAAAATCACATCACTATAGTTCATGTGGACAACCTACGTGTACAATGAGGTGGAATGGAAACATGATATAATGGGTAAATTTTTTAAAATACAATGTCCTAATAAATAATAGTTTAAAAGTACATTGCTGTAAAAAAAAATGAAAGTACAATACTATAATAAAAAAATTTATAAAAGT